TGAATAATAAATATATTAATATTTATATTATGCAGCTGCTCAGGTGCCAGTACATAGTTAATAATTATGCATTTTTTAAAAATGAGTGGCGTTTGCAAGTCTGCTAGCAACCTATCATTATGCATTAATATGTTCATTGAACCTTTGGAGTCAATTAAAAACAAAATAAAGCAAAAACTAAAAGCCAAGCGGCGTAGTAATTGTGTCAATAGCGAACATTTATTTGTATAGGCCTACACGGCTTCCGAATATGGCAGCACTTTCTATATATGGCCGCCCGAATGAAAGTCTAGTTGCGCTACTTAACCATATTTGCATAATTGAACTTGAACACGCACAGCATGCTGTGTGCGAAAACAAACAAATACAAATAATCTCAGCAATTACAAAAGTCATTAAAATGTTTACGACTGTTTGGGGGAATGCCTAAATAAATAATTAATCGTCTATCAAAAACGACAGACTACCCAGGGTATGGAGGCTTTTAGTTTTGTTTATTGCACAAATTGAGTTCCCACATCTAAGTCAATATCGAAGCTGAACAAGTTTTTCATTTAAGCAGAAAATAAGTATATTGCCAAATGTATATGTTTGTTAAAATGTATGTTTTATGTACAAGAAATTATAAATAAATTCCTAAACAGCATATCAAAGAATCCAATTCATAATACAAGCGAGGAAAGTTTAAAACTTCACGTTTATGACAACAAAACAAAAAAGCGAAAATACTGGATTTTTCTTTAACATCAAAAAAATGTAATAGCTCTAAACGACCATATGGAGAATACCGGAACCAATTATAGTTAATATTCCATATTAAGTATTTTCGAGTACCTTCGAAACCTCCTAAAAATATTTAACTATCAGCTGACAAACCGTCTACATATTGATAAAATAAAAAAAAATTATCCATTTTATTTTCACGTGACAAGAAAGTCAGTTAAAGGTGATAAATTGCCACCCCAATATTAACAAGCTCTAGAAGGCGCCAGATTAAAATAGAAATTTGGAATGTATACTTCTAGTGCAATACACTCTCTTCAATTTAAAAATCAAAAATATTATGAAAAATTTCAAAACACCTTTGTCTGGCTTCTTGCAAAAGTTTTACCAAATTTTCGATCCCACCGCTTTTTTATATATACAAATTCTTTCACAAACCAATTAGCAATCAGAGACGATTATGAATAAAGAAAAATTCCAAGCAAAACGTCATAGAATTGATAAATTAAATTTTTTTTAAAATATAAAACAACGAGGAAAACCGAAATTCACGATAAGCTAAAAATATTTTAAATTGGAAAAAAGATTGCCTCAAAGAAAAATGCTTGAAGAATATTAAACCAAAAATAAAATACATACTTAATACAATAGAGATAATGCTCATTTTTATACCCTGTACCCAAAGGGTACAAGGGTATATTAGTTTTGTGCGAGTGTACATGTAACACACAGAAGGAGGCGTGGCAGACCCCACAAAGTATATATATTCTTGATCAGCATGACAAGCCGAGTCGATATAGCCATGTCCGTCTGTCCGTCTGTCTGTATGAACGCAAGGATCTCAGAAACTATAAGAGCTAGAATAACCAAACTTGGTATACAGATTCTCCTGAGCCCGAGAAAGGACGAGTTTGTTCATTTTTCCCGATGCACCCCCCCCACTCCCCCCCTATTCAAGATTTTCTATTACTCCCGTAATTCTTGGAATTTTTAACTTAAATTTGGTAGACACATCCAGTTAGTAATTATATATCCGTATACCAAGTTATGAGAGGTTGATCAGAAAGAAAGTTATAGCCATATAACCATGCCCAATGCACACGTACATACATATGTACAAGTACACAAACACGCATAAGGCACGATTCTGATGTAAATGTAAATGTATGTATGTATGAATGGAATATATTATATTTAATTTAATTAATTAATTAAATTAAATTAAATTAAATTAAATTAAATTAAATTAATTAAATTAAATTTATTTATTTTTTGTGGGGTGGTACAGGGTATTTAAGAGTTGAGCCTGCCCGACTTTAGCATTCCTTTCTTGTTTACACTACATTGTTTGACTACATACAGACTCTGTTTCTGTCAGGATGATTCAGAATATACAGATTTATTCTCCCTATAAAAGTATTTTACAAGTAAATATATGGCAGGAAAGTTCTACTACGCGGTATTTAACATATAACAAAAATTTTTACATCAAAGAAATACTGAAAAGATTCAAATGTGATGCTTTAAGGGGCCTTTAAAAGGAACTTAGGTACTTGACCTTTACATCAAAACGCTCTATAACGAACACCGTATACCTATACCTACAGCCTGGTACGAGCTATTTACTATTGTATTGTATTATCGTAGCATTTGCTATATGTTTTTATGATCGAGATTCCAGTAACTTTTATAGACTTAGATCTAAATGAACGAAACGTGCATGATATTTAAATCTGAAAGCCAGTAACACTTATAATACATTTTGACCGATATTGCAAGCTTATAATTCTCGGAATCTGAGAGAGTATCAACTAAATTAAAAACTCTTAGAAACAAGTAAGCTCTTTTGTCAGCAATTCATTCAATCAATATTTGATTAACCAATCAACTATCTGCAGCTTATATGAATATCCTGAAAAAAAATTTCCATTGCAATTAAATATATCATAATCACACCAAGTATATCATAAACTCTAAGTATAGCTGGATGGATTAAAAGTAAGGCCAAAAATAGCAATGACCATACGTAATTGTTTTTCAATAACTCTTGAGCTGTCGAAGGCTTGATAGTGAATATATCTTTATCTACAATTTCAGCAACATGTTGGCGATTTTATAAACGGACGTCTGTTTAATTATTAATGAAAAGGTATTGGGATTTTGATTGATTGATAAATTTATTTTATTTATAGGTACATGCCAAAAATAAAAACCTGAATTCTGAAGTGGCAATCAAGCAAAACTTATGCTATCGTTATCATTGGTTATATCATTTTGTACCCAAAGATTATTTATTTATAGATTCAGTTATTAGAGTTTAATCGTTCAGCTAACTACATGTTATTTAAACGGATCGTCTAGGGACCATACATGAACAATTCAATATTTAAACGTGTTTGTTGTTCGCTAATTATCATGTATTTATGAGGAATTAACAGCTCTGATGTACCTGAGGGTTTTGTTTGGCCGCCCAATTCACACTTCCCCGCCCCACTCCATTGCAAGTGGCTGTGTTTATTTAAGGCAGAGACCAATCGTCTTTATGCACACTCCAGGCATTAGTCAGTGGCAGGGATTGCGGATTGCCGACGGCAAAGAAATGTCAAGTAGAGTATGAATGTCTGGAAGTGATGAAGAAAGTTTCTGGGAATAAATGGCAAGTGCCTGGGATCGCAAGTAAAAGCTAACATTAGTCATACGCTGTGTATGTCAGATGCCAAGTTGTTATGTGACAACAACTGCAACCACAACAATTGGATGGGTGGGTGTAGGTGTGGATGTGGGTGGCTGCTATTACAAACACGAAGATATCACATATAATTTAATTAGTGCTGGCCTTTCAATTGCACTCACATATATGTAATTACATATATAGTATTTTATCAACAGACACAGCCAGCGGCAACATTTAAGTGTGTGTGTGTGTGTTTGTGTGTCAATAAGTCAAGTGATGTTAATTAATTGACTTTCATAATGAAGCGCGCCATCGCAAGTTGCAGGCAAAAAACAGTTAACGGCCGCTTTATCGGGAAAGTGCGCATAAATTCTACTTAAGCATGAAATTACACAACAAACACAAAAATGTCTATAAATAGACAATTAAGACTCAATATTAATTGTTTACTTATGCAATCACTTGCACGCTCAGACATTGCTTTCGGCCATCGTTATCCATTACAGGTCGAAATGACTTTGTTTCTTGCAATCTGGTCAACTTTAATAAAAAACAAGTAAAAATGCAGTACATATGTTTACAATAATTATAGAAAATAAAAAAAATTAAGAAAATTCAAAAAAAAACTTCTTGTTAAATCGGTCTATCATGATGAAACTTGGCGTACGGACACATAATTACTAACTGGGGGTATCTACAAAATTTTAGTTCGAAATTCCAAGAATTACGATTTGCGGGGGAGAGGGGGAGGGAGGGAAATTCCAAAATATAAATTTTCTGCGGATTCACATAAGGCATCTGGGACTACAATTTGGTGTTCCTAGGTCTTATAGTCTCCGAGATATAGGCGATTATATGAACGGCGTTACGGAAAAACCCCCATAGGGAGGAAGTGGGGAAAATCAATAAAATAAAACAAACTCGTATAGAATACACACATAAGGCATCTTTGTGCAAAATTTGGTGTTTCTATCTCTTATAGTCTCTGAGATCCAGGTGTTCATACGGACGGACAGACAGACAGGCAGGGCTAGATCGACTCGTCTCGTCATGCTGATCAAGAATATATATACTTTGTGGGGTCTGCCACGCCTCCTTCTGCCTGTTACATTTTTCAGCTCCCGCAAGCCTAATATACTTCTGTACATTTCATGTACAGAGTATAACATTTACAAAACAAGTCCAATTTTTTGCACATTCCAACCAATACATTTTGATATTATTATATTCCCATTGATAAGGTGATTTATTAATTTTTAATTACCAACCTAACAAACAATTAAATTATTATTCGCATTAGTAGCGTTTTTTATTAATTTTTAAATTTACAACATAATACCAACATTTTGTTGAACCACCCATATATCAAGTTTTGTTGAAATAACTTCAAAAACAATGAAGTGGTTAAAAAAATTGGCTCTTCGTTCATATGACAGTTATAGTATTGTAGCATGACTATGATATGACTACTATCGGACAAAATTTGGAAAATTAATTTCTATGAAGCCTAATTTCAGTGAAGAATCTTTTACACTGAGAAAGACAGACGGACAAAAATCTGAAATTTACAAATGTCTTTGCAAGGAAAACAATATAATATTACTTACTGCTTAAATTATCATTTAATTTCGTATTAAAAACTATATCACGGCAATAAAGTTAGCCCAAGGAGACGTTAAGAAAAACTATATTCGTAGTTTAAAAAGTTTTGGTTTTCTTCAGAACTTCCGAGTTATTGAAATGGTGTTGAGCGATCTTATAGGCAATGCTGCCAGGACGTACAAGCTGTCGTTCCAGAGCATCGCCATAGAGCTTCACCAACGACGGCTCCTCCTCCAGCGGCTCCAAATAGGCAGCCAGCCCACCTATTAACTGGAAAATAAATACCAATTACAAACTCTTATATAACTCTGATAATATTACAATTTACCAAATTCTCATCGCAATTGAGAAAACGCATAACCTGCACATGCTCCGACCAGAGTCGTCGGCGCCATTTGTTGTCATACTTTTGGGCCAATGGCAGTAATACCAACGAACTAAATAGCTCATCACCATAGCTAGCCGCTTGAAAATGAGTCACAAATAGATAATAGAGCGGTTCGAAGTTGCCTTTATCCGGAAATGTAGCGTCAAAGTCGAAAATGTGCTGAGCATTTTTTGCATAGAAATCTTTTAGATGAGCATGCAAAAGCTGATGGAGCTCTGGATCCAGAAACTGTGAGTCAGGACCCATAAACGATATCATAAGATACATTAATTTTTCGAGTGGGGTGACTATTTGAAGACCCTGACTCTCCAGTTGCTGTACGAATGTCAACGTCATGCGAACCACTTGATGTTCTGTGAATGAGATTATTCAAAATTTAATAATTAGTAATTTTTCAACGAAGGATAGAAAAAAATTCACTACAATAAATAACATACTTTCCTCTATTAGAAAATAATTTTTTTTTAAATTGAGATTCTCATATGAAGCTCTTAACCGAAGCCAGTCTAAACACCAATAGCACATAAATTATACAAGTAGAAGCTAATCTATACTTCTAAAAAAACAAAAGTTCTTCTCATGCAAAGCCCTTATGATTGATTTTACTTGTATATCAATTGGAAAGAATGGAGACAGGTCCCCACATAAAAAGGTAATATATTTTATATAAAAATCTAAATGTTGAAGAAACTTTTGAAAACTTTCCGTTTCTCGATATCTATCAAGATAGTTGTGACCTATATTATAAAAGCTTTACAAAATATTATTTTCTGTGGCGTACACAACAAATACAGATATGCCAGCAAATATAATAATTTTTAACGCTACTATCTTAAAAACGTATTGATCGATCAACTTCGATGGAACATTTTCCAGTAAAGTGGAAGAAGCATTTTTTCCCCAAAAATGAGATTTACCTGAAAACACAACTGCTGGCTGCTGCTGCACATTTTGGACATAGTTGCTGAGTATGAGACGCAATTGAAAGTACGGCCAATCTGGCGGCAATATGGGCGCCTGTGTATAGCAAAGCGTTAGCGTAGGTTCTTTATTGGCCTGTTCGAAGTAAACAATTTAGAAAAATACATAAGAAACAAATGTCCCCTCCACTTACTTCAATTATATGGGGATAAATCATTTCCATGCAGGTTTGGCGCAACAATTCCAGCGACTTATCATCCAGATGCACATACACCGAATTGAAGATGAAGCGTTCGAAGATACTTTTGATTTGAGTGGCGTGTGATGTGGATAAGCAGCACAGATAGTTGTAGACCAGCTGCAATAAATGGGTGCGCTCCAAGTAGGTTTCAATGCCATCCGTGCACAAGAACTGATGGATGAGCTTCAATTCGCTACGCGCAAAGAAATTGGTGGCCAACAGACGATTGAGCTGCTTGCTGAGCTGGCCGAGATACTGACTCACAGGCTCGAGAACAGCTGGTTGCATAAGTGCATCGAAAAGCGTTTTTTCTCCCTCGTTAAGCTGCAATTCGAGCAGCGTCCAGACGTTACTCAACAACTGCACCGGATATGTGTCACTTATGACCAGTTGGGGTCCATAGTCGTTCATCAAAACGGCGCCCACATTGGGGAGCGGGGCATGCGAATTACGACGATCGCTAAAGCGGCTCAAAATTATGGTGCCCGGGGTCTTACTGTGAGGGTAGTGTTTAAAAATGTTTTAATTGTTGATGTCTCTCGCCCACTTATTAGCAATCAAACTTACATCAAGTGTTGAAAGCACGCAATAAAGCCCGGCGAGCGCACAAAATTGGGCAAAAAGTTGCGTTGAAATTTTTGAAAAACTTGCAAATTAAAGCTATGTCGAGAAAACCAGGATACGGCATATAAAGTAGAGCTTATCAATGTCAACTGCGAGTACTGAAAAGAAGAGGAATTTAAAGTCATGATCCAATTGCTATTACATCTGTACTCACATCTTTAAAGCCACCAGAACGCGTGGCTTTGTGTATCCAACTGCAGCAGCAATTATGCAAGGGTTCCAGCATCAGTTTTTGCGCTTCGACATCGCAAGCTCCGATCTCCCCGCTGGCCACAATAGCCGTCAATACAGCAGACGCGTGTTGACGTATCAAAGCCGCACCGCCCACTTCGAAAACGCAATGATTGTAATGCCAGTCAAGCAACTGACGAAGTGCGGGAAGGAATTTTCTGAGTTACAACAAAGCAAATCAAAACAAAGCGAGAACCAAAATAATAGCTATTAGTAAGGTATTTCTGAGTACTAAACGGACTATAAAAGTAACTTAAAAACAATAACTAAGCTCAGTTGCAGTTTAAGAACCATAGCCAGTACACAAATTACAATGAGCTCGAAAATCTTGTTCAGCCTTATGTTGGCAATACTCATTATAAGCAACTCTATAATCCCACAACAAGCTGTAAGTTATTAAATGGTTAAAAATACTATTGAGAACTACAATTAAAACAAGATGTTCTATGTACTATATAGCTGGAAGTACCTGAAATGATGAAAAAGCATGTGCAAAAAATGCACGCACGCTGTCTAAAACAAACCGGCACCACTGAAGGTAATATTCTTACTATCTCTTCAGTTTGTTTCATCATATTATTTTATCTTCTAATTTCTTCACAGAAATCATCAATCAAGGACATCAAACCGAGACCTTGCCTGATGACCCATCCTTCAAATGTTTTTTGCACTGTATGCTCGAAAGATTTGGATTGGTAAGCAGAATTTTCTAATTCTTGATCAAGTTTTTTGGAAAGTACAAATCGTTTTCGACAGACCTAATAGAATGAAGCTTTAATACTTCACAAATTCTAGATTGACAGTGAGAATGTGATGCATTTGGAATCTCTGTTGGAAGTTCTACCAGAGGATGTGCATGCCAAAATTCAGGGGCTGGTCGATGCATGCGGCACGAAAAGTATGCATTACCAACAAACATTATAAAATCAATTTACTACTCTATCATTTTAATACTGCTTAGAGGGTGCCGACGGCTGCGATACTGCCTTTCAAACAGTAAAATGTTATATACAAACTGACAGGCCTTTCATCAAGAGCGCTGTGGACGATCTGTTGGGCTAACGCCTCACTTACTTGTACGAATCACGATCCACAATACCCTGCAAAAGCAAGCAACGCAAAATCCGCAAGGCTTCCAGCTGAACGCGTATCAATTTTCCCTACAATTTGAAAAGAAAGTAAGCTTTCATTTAAATTGTATGGAAATAAATAAATTAATAATACGTATACCTTAATGTCCTCCCGATAGAATAAATAGTTTTGGAGTCTTTCAATAAGTGGGCCTTTTGCCAACTGCTTGGCAATATCCGAATGCTGGGAGATGAGCACACGCCAGAGTTTCAGACAAAGATACTGGGGTTGGCCATAAAAAGTGTGCTGTGTGGTCTTGGCAGCTGCAAAGATTTCTAATTAAATAACAGACATTTCACGTTGCTTGGAAATACTAACGGGTGTCAGAGATTGGTGGCATAAAATGTGTGATTAGCACTTCCAAAAGTTGAGCTTCATTTGCCATTTGTCTGGCCAGCTTTTCGTGGGTTCGTGCCAAACGTATAAGTATTTTTAGACAGGATTCCGGAGCGTTGTTCTTCGGACACGACGATCCCAAAATGAAGCTGTGTGCAAAGGGATATTAAAGATATTTATAAATTTGTCCAAAAATTCTCTACTTACGTAATACGTTGCAGTATGTTGGTACGCAGCAAACATTCCATCAAATCAGTCTCAGCCAATTGAAAATCGTCCATGCTCATACGACTTTCGGCCTCATCTTCATCGACATCAGCACGCACTGCTGTGGGATTAGTGCGCAGCAGTTTCATCGTACGTTGTAGAAATGCTATCGATGTAGGATCTGTTTCATCGCCAGCATTGGCAATAACCTGAAGCGTGGGCTGCCAGTGGCAATACGCATTCTCATAGATGTGATCCAGCAGAACTTCGTCAGTTTCATTATAGCAAAGACGGGCAAGGGCTTTGCTAACCACCTCCAGCTGTGCATGAGTATTGTCATCGAGGCCGAAACGCAGTAGAAAGAATATTTTCGATATGGGTAACTCAAGCACCTGGTCGTAAAAGCCCTGATTGTAAATGCTTAATATGCCAGCAATCGAACCAAATGCGGAAATGCGCTGTTGGAGCACAGTTGAGCTGCAATGTTTTAAGCAATTAAGTAAAACAAGAGAGAACTCTATAGTCGAGCAAGACCGACAGTGTAATACCCTGTACCCAGGTAAACTTCCGTCACTGAGATATATGCGCCCATAGCAGCAGCAAAAAGAGGAAGAAGAAGAGCGAACTTGTTGCTGCAGTTTGTGGGGGTTGTACTGGCGAGAATTTGTTTTGCTAATAACTTTTCTTAGAATTGGCCGAATTGAATCGACAACAGTAGATAATTATATATAAATTATGTGTGCAAAGTTTGGTTCAGGTAGCATTTGAAATGTGGATGCTGTTGACGAAATTCTGTAGCGGGGGAAGGGGGGAAAATTAAAAAAAATAAAATAAACTCGTCCTTTCTCGGATTTAGAAGAATCTGGATACCAACTTTGGTTATTCTAGCTTTTATAGTTTCTGAGATCCTTGCGTTCATCCAGACGGACAGACGGACGGACATGTCTACGGGTACAGGGTATAAAAATCAATCAATAACAGTCAAATGTATTTACCGCGCCAGTCGAAAAAGTTCTTGTAACGTATAGCCGGGACGCTCAGGTTCCTCACCATGCAAATACAATTCACGGTCATCCACTTTATCAGATAAATCTTGCAGCGTGTGTGGCAGCAACACGCCCTTCCAGTCAAAGCGTGCATCGAACTGTTGTCCAGGCTTTAGTTGTGCCAATCTTGCAGGTATATCACGCATCCAGGATAGTTTGTGATCCTCAATACGATTAAAGTGGAGCCAATTGTTTTCGCTGCTTTGCTGCAGAATCTCGTGTGCTGGATTTGATTCGGGCAATAATTCGGTCACAGAAACCGGCGTCATATCCATGGACTGTGGCTCAGGCTGTAACTGCTTCGAAGTGGCTTGCTGGGCCTTGCGTTTATTTGTAAGCATTTGTACCAATGTGGGATCTGTGTATTTTTGGCATTTTTAAAAATAAACAATAGTTCGACTATAATCCATTTACCCAATGAGTTTAGCAACTCTTTACGCTCAGCCAAAATATCCTCCATGCGCATTTGATTAAGCTTTTTAAGATTTTCAGCGTGCAATTCCTCAGCCAACTTATTATCTCTGATAATGACGCTGCGTCCAGGTTCATGCTGCATTGCTTCAACTCTCACAGACTGCGCTGTTTTCTGCAGTTTTTGTTGGTCTGCCAGGAATTTTTGCGCAAATAGACTTCTGGGCTTGTTACTAGATGCCTAAATGAGAGTTGGAGCTTCGTAAAAAAGACTATCATATGAAGTTAACTTTGTTTACCTCCACGATTTCTGGAGCTGCTCGCGGCGCGCCATTTCGTCGTTCCACAATATCACCGACCATATTGTTTATAATATTACGATTGACTTTGCTGCCGGACAAATCTCCCAATATGTTTTCGTGAATATCATCGAGTAGCAATTTCGTTTGTTTGCTCATCGAATCTCTGCACTCACTTCCACTTGTTGCTCCGCCAGCCACGACTTCGGGAACAGTTATGGAGGGCGGTGGCGGTTCTGCATTTTTAGTTTCTTCTACTTCCATTGGCTCAGAAAGCTGTTTTGCCTGAGCACGTTTTTGCGCAAACAAAGATTTTTTTGGCACTAAGAACATAAAAAGTTGTGGTTAATGCGCAGAGTAATTTTACAAATCACTCACTTTTTTCCACGCGTACAGCGGTCGCCGCTGGCTGAAAATCTGGATTTTTCGAACGCTCTGCATTGAACTCATCCGCCATACGCATCACATCCTCCTCGGTATCACCGCGTTTCAATTTCTTAAACATTTTAAAATTAAATCACACCAATAATGAATATAAATACAATTGCGGCACAACAATGCGCAAAAGATAACCCGGCTTGTGATGGTTTCCTACTGGTTCGATAACAAGTAGAGATGTGTCGTGAAACAGACTCAAATAAAAGTCGCAGCTATTTTAAAGCTGCTAGAATAACAGAACGCAAGAAAATAAAACGAATGCTAGATGGAATATTTGATAAAAATAAACATACTAAAGCAACAAAAGATCGAGTAAATAAAGAGTAAATATATTCTTATGAACTTATTTATGCAAACATCTAACAAATACTGCAGTGTAATAATTAAAACCGAAATAACAATGTCAATACTGTCAAATAACGAAATAAACCTAATCAAATAAGAATACATACCGGGACTAATTATATTAGAACAATTATGTCATTCCATCGTTATTTCATAATTTTGTATGGTGTTCAACAAGTTTTTAAATGTGAAACTTGTTTGAAAAATTCCAAATGTTCGTTATCTTCCACTCTTCATTGAACGGGTACTCGACTTATTCAGAGTTATCGAAACGCGCCGATTAATAATCGTATTTCTTTAGCGTCTTTTACTGAGCTCAAAATATAATTCTGTTGAATTTTCAACAACATGAGTTCACGTAAGTTGATTATTTATTAATAACAGTAAAAAATAGAGCTAATATATATATTAAATATTCTTAGATTGGCGTGCGGTCCCGCAGACGGAAGTCTCACGGATTCTTGGTACTGAGAACATTGGATATACTCAGGAGGAACTGCTCAACTTTCTTTCGAAATCAAGCATTCAAACGGAATGCCAATTTGCGTTTAAGTCTTTTGACACATTTAAGGTTTGTTTTGTTTTTAATTCCGCCTTTTTAAAAGCATCCGCACTATTTTCCTTAGGTAGCCAATAGTTTCATAGATGTCGTTCGTAAGCTTCGATCCTACGACACAAATCTCAAAGTTCTACGGGACTACTTTGTGGTTTCCATGATGATGTTGAGCATCAATCGAGATGATTCGCTGGCGCATCATAAATGTATTTCGCTAGCAAATGCCGTCTGCAACGTACAACCTGAACTCATTCCAGAAAACGTAATTTTGGTGTCCCTTTTACATTTAGGACTTTAATTTTAAATTAATATTAATTGCAGGCTCAGTATATTGCACAGTATATGATCCGCAAGTTGATACTTGGATCAGGAAAACGTTTGATGGCCAACATCAGTTATATAGAATTCGGCCTACCGACCTTTTCGTTGGCCAGCAAGTCGGGTGCAGATATCGCCGATGCTCTCTCAATACTTATTCTGACGAATTTGACTAATGAAAAAATCAAATATGGAGAAGGAGTGCGTAACAATAACTTTTATTTACCATCAGGCGTGTGCTCGTTTTCTAATTTCAGCATATTGTAAAATTTTGCAACTCCCGAAAAATGATTCAATTGTTCGATTTTTAAAGAGGAGCTTTTGTTTTCAGGCGAAACTTCTGAAACTCAAGTTTTTTTCTGAATAACTCAATTAAGTTTTCAATTTTCTACAATTTTGTTCTATTGGAAACAGACCTAACTATTTCCAAAAAATTAATTGGATTTCTCTGTGTTATCTTTAAGATTAAACAAATTTTTAAAGCCATGCAACTCATCCTCTGGACCGAGCTCTTGCAGAAAAATGACCTTGAGGAAATGTTTATTATCATCCGACTATTCGTCTTGATGCTGCAAAATAAGGAGAGGCGTAACAAGGGCTGGACCAAAGAGACCCAAATCGAAATTATACAATATTTTCGGCACCTTCGCCTGCAAATTCATTTGACGGTAAATACTGATTATGGTAAAACGGTGAGTTTAATGAGACATCCAATTATAAATATTAAATATGTATGTATTTTGATTTACTTTCAGCTGGAACGCTATATTGCCTTTGCTGTGGAGGCCGGCGCCGAAAACTGCAAATCTAATTTCCTTACTGACGTAAAGATTAAAAGTACCCCTCGGGTAGAATTCAACTTTCTACAATCGACTGAAAGTTCGACATAAAAGGTTGCGTGATATTAGTTCTAAAAAATAGACACAATCTGATTGTTAAATCGCATTTACGTTGTTATAATTCAGTACAAATTTATTTACATTACAATAAAAGAGGCTCTAAATGTCGCAGACGATTATTTCTTGAATGTGGTGCCCGTATCGGCCAGGCACTTTAGCAGCGATTGCTGTGCAATAAGCGTGTCCTTATGGGGCAAACCTGCTATTTGGAAGAATACATCGATGGCTTCCTTGAAAAGTTCAATGGCCTGAACTGTTTTCTGATCCTGCATGGCCTGTGCTGCCTCGCGATAGAGTTCCTCGACTTTAATGAGCTTGGCCACGCTCTCTTTCAATGAGATATTCTTTCGGCAGCGTGGACAGCGCACATCCTTGCTCAGATCCTTGGGAAATTTGAGCAAATATACGCAATTGGCCGAAGTGCACCTACAATAAAGACAAAATGTCAGCGATTCCCCTAGCGACGGCTCTCTTTTTGCACTTACCAGAACCGGACCTGCTTGTCCAGCTTCTGCAGCAGCGGCCAGTTCTCCTGGCAGGCCATACAGGTACAGCTAAACATGTAGCGTCCACGCAAGTTGCGCTGACGTTCCTTCAGATTGACTTTCGTGAACAAGGGCCCATAGTTGACGGCCACAATCTCGTTGGGGCGATGCGGCTTTGTCGCTGTCAGCACCAAACGTTTGCCCACAAAATAGGCCGCAACGCTGGGCCAGCACTCGTGATTGAAATAGGAAGCAGTGCCATAAAGGCCAGCCCCAACAAACACCACCTTGCTGCCCTCGAAGCGATGCTCCTCCGTCACCATCGTCTCATAAATCTCATGGGCATTGAACTGAAGCACCTGCAGCAGACCCAGCAGCGACGTTGCCACCTGCAGCTCCACAGCCGTGGGATTGACACCCTCCGTCTTGCGTCTGCCAAAGTACAGCGCCTTCTGCAAGATGCGCAGCAGAAAGGCTGCCATCAGCGAACGCTGCAGATAGTCATCCGCCTGCCGCTGATCCTCGTGCGAGCACAAATTCTCGAACAACGAATTGGCCGTAGCCAGGCCTTGCTCCAAATTGGTGGCCTGCGTAAAGATGCGCAACGCTATAAAACACAATATGGACATGCCCGAGCCAATCAACAGATCCATGAACTCGCACTCGAATCGGTGGTAGCTGTCACACGCCTCGCCCATGCACTGAGCGGAGCAGAAGGCGATGCCGGAACAGTGCAGACAGCAGACCGGCGTGCGTAGTCTGCCAGGAGAGGACACTCAGTTACATTCTTAGGACACTCAATGTTGCACTCACCGCTTGAAGCAATGATGGCAGTGACTGCCAAAGAAAATAGGTGCGAGGCAGGCGGCCACCGGGTTTTCGCAAAGCAGCACATCGCCTGTCTTCAGGCAATCACTGGCTACCACGAAGCGTCCTTTCTCTTTGGTCTCCACCAGCTTCACTACATTGGCCGCACCACGAAGCTCTGTATTCTCGCCGTGCGTGAGTTGCGGCGTCTTCGCCTCAGGATCCAACGTGGTCGGAGTAATCGTGGACAGCTCCTGCCGGCAGGCCACTATGTGGCCCGTATCGGCGCCAGCCAGCTTCTCCGCAATCTTTAGGGAAATATCTGCACGCTTCTCCTCACCCATGGCTGTGAAATAGTTAAGCAGATTCTACGGATAGTTACATACTTAATGTAAAAATATGTATGTTAGAAAAAATCTCTTATCATAGATGTGGAATCGCCTTAAAGAAGTTGTAAAAAATTTGGCGCTTAGACTTTCTACATAACCTTGTAGTACAGGGAATAAACATAAGTACTGTATATACATACATACATATGTATATTTTAGCACTCACCCGCATAGGCTTTGGCCATTTTGCAATAATAATCCACGCTCTTTGACTCCACACCATAATTGGCAGCCAACTTGAGATCATTGAGCGCTGCCTCGCCCTCACCCAGCGCTATCAGGATCCCCGCCCTTGAACGATAGGCCAACGCCAGCGTTAAGCCATCATCTATGCTTGCATCCACATCTCGTGCTGGTGCCCGCATCACCGACAGATTGGCATGCATCAGTGCCTGCTGCAGCAAATCCTTGCGTTCCAGGTCCCCCACAGCGCTCAAGCTCAGCAGATGGTATTTGTCGGCCTGGGCGCGGCGTTGGGCAGCAAAGAGTGCCTCCTTCTGCTTGAAGACTGGCTGGACATGCTCCAATACACCCAGCACCGGATCGCATACCTCGCGATCACTGAAAATGGAGAGGACACGCGCCGCATTCGATTTCAGCTGACCAAAGCAGTTTTTTAACCACTTATCGCCACAACTCTCCTTAACGTCCAAATAGAACTCATTGAAGAACCCCTTCTTTTCCGACTGCACCGTTCGCATTGAACAGATCTGCTGATAGGTCGAATCATACTCCATACTTAACTGGAAATTATATAAAAATTTTAATACAATTTATATTTTTGCGGCAGCGCAGGAGAAAACTATTGAACGATTATATTGGAAACAGCTGGCACCACAGACCTCCAAAAATAGCACCCATATAAATAAGCGTGCCGCCACGTTTGTGAACTCAATTTCTAGTTTATTTCAAAAAATTTTTACTATTCTTACGCTAGAGGGCGTATTAAAAGTTTTTGAATTGAACACAAATATTCCTCATTGTAATTGTTGTCCTCCGAAAAATATAAACCAAGCTCACATTATAATTTCATTTTTGTTTAGTTTCCAAAGCTGTTCTTTTGCAACAATCTAAAATGAGCAAAAAAAATATTGCTGCAGATTTGAGCACCACAGGATTTCAAAAATAACATAAGTATTTTCTTCATCTTTGATCTTTTGTCATCACATTGGAGACGTTTTAACTATTGTTTAGCTTGAACAAATTAAGCATTTTAGCGGTAATGGGCGACTTGGTCCTATTTGAACATTTTGAGCATAACAAAAATATAATTGTGTTCATCTTTATTGTAGGGTTAGCTGTCCAAAAATAGTACCAAACTCAACTCCTATAAAAAATATTGTGGCATCATCTCCGACGCCAAAAATAATGCATATATTGTGTATTTCCAATCAGTATGTGACAATTCGATGATTTTCTTCAACATTATTGTTGTTTTTATTCCTCAAAACTTTTACCATCTTATAAATTATAGCAACGCCTCGAATTGTGAACTGGAAGTTTTGAAAATTTTAGCGCTAGAGGGCGCCCCAACAGTTTTTTGAAGAGACAACACAAATATATTTGTGTTCAGCTTTATTGTAGTTTTTATTTGTAAATTGAATCGGGCATACATGGTATTTGTATTTTTGTTTACTTAAGTATTTACCATAAATCACATTAAATAATTTATTAAAAAATTAGCTAAAAGTACAAAAATATAACAATATACAAGTATATAATATATATATTTATATAGGCATACATATTCATATATTAAACAGTTTAAGTTGAATTTGTTCTCGTATGGAAATATATTTGTTTTTACTTCTTTTTAATGTATTGGAATATAATCGTAGAGGCTTGCATATGTATGTATATATTCGAATTCATTCATATATATCTGTTTAAATATATTTGGAATTTGTTTATAACACTCTAACTATAGTTATCTATAATATATATTTAGAGGAAATTAAGTAAATATGTTGTTATTTGAGAAACTTGTAAAAACATTTTCAATGACTAAAGGCTGGGATTCATAGCGGAAAAAAACTTAAACTTCATTGGAATTCCTGTAAAAGTAGGCATAGTTCTCAGTTTAATATTCTAGCTTCATCTTGAGTTAAAGTCAAAATCGTACTAAACAATAAGCGTAATAAATGATTAAATCACATAAGCACGATAATGGGAAAGGTTTTAATCATAATAATACATTTGTTTTTTTTTTTTTTAATAGAAACAATTGTTTTCAAATTGAAATCAATATTGTTCAATATTTGGATCAATAGATCAAACAATAATAGTGTTCAAATGTTGACTGAATTTTAGAATTGGGAAATTGGGAACCTATTACGTTTTTTTTCCAAAATTTTAATAATGAGGGTTTTGATTTTGCTTCTCTGATTTTAACATCTGTTTGTGATTAATCTAATTGAAAAATAAGCATATTCAATAGAACTTCCACATCGGCATAAAATCGTATCAAAATAAGTCCCTTGGACCTGTATTTCAAATCATTGTTCTTTAATAAATAACAAAAAGTTCGATTTCATTTAGTTTCATTCACATAATTATATTTATTTGTGTGTATGTACAAAAAATCAATTAACTAATTAAATGTTAAAATGAAAGGTGCGTTCGAAGACTTGACAGTTAAAAAATATGTATGTGTCGTACGAGTGGTTTGTTTAACTAAAATGTTTTAAATGATTGCTGGCAGAAATGAAAATTTAACTAAATTTTGTGTTCATTTTAAAAATAAATTATTACAATGTTTTATTAAATGTTTGTTTGCTTGTGTTTTACCTTCTTCTATTTCATTTGTTTTTGAAAGTCACAATTAATCTCGTTGGCTTTATTTGCAATTATATTGTAGTACTAACGATATGAAAGAAATGTCACTAAACTTAACAAATAAAATGCTACAAAATTTCAGCCTCGTCGTCAAACAAAATAGCCACCGATCGCTCAGAAGCGCCTTTGTAAGTTGTAAGACATCATTAATTATATTGGTTATAAAAACTATTATCATCACATTTCATAATTTTACGTTTTCCTTCATATTATTCATGATCATCTCTTATATGTTTATCATCTTCACATTAAGCTTAACAAATGGGGTTCATTATGTCTTTTTGTATAGAAGCTTAAATCTTTTGCTATAAGTAAATGGTATTGGTTTGATTTTTCATTATCTTCTCGTATTATCTTGAGTTAAAGCGCAGACGGGCCCTGATTCGCATTATTATAGTGGCGCGCTTAAAACCTTGTAGCCTAATGTATAGTTGTCTAAATTGTTGACTTGCATTGTTTACACAGAAAGTTAAGCTTAGAAGCAAACTTAGCTAGCCCGGTAATAGTTAATTAGTAAGTTAGTTCGTACATCTCATACTTTTTTATTCCTTTTTATCTTTTTTGGTATAGCACTGCAACCACTCTAAGACATATATAAATAAATTAGGACTTAAAATTAACAACGGCATTAAGTTTCGAAATAAAGTTGATTTCCATACGCTTAATTTTATCATTTTCCATAATTGTATAAATAAATTAGCCATAGTATCACTTATTTTGTATTTTAAGAAAATAACCAAAAACTAATTCAACTATAAATTATAAAAAACTATACAACAAGTGCATGGAAGAGGTTTTTCTTTTTTTTTAGAGTTCTACACTTAAGGAAAGCAGCAAGAAAACTCTCGTCTCCAAGCCAACACACAGAGAGGACAGGAGAGAGAGAGCGCGCCAGAGAGAGCGTGCACGAGCGTGCATCGAACACTGCCCAGTGCCAGTTAGGGCCTGCCACTGACCACATCCACTAACATGAACCACCAAGCTACAACACATTGAAGCATACAGCCCAATAGCACAGCACCAGGAGCCATCCGCACCGCAGACGGCAAACAAAAATAGGAGCGTCAGGAACAGCAAAGCCAGCGACACCAGAAAGTTAATCCCGCGTTCTCTATTGGGGCAAACAAATCACGACATCTTGATGCCCAGGGCACGACTTGAGTATTCGTAGACCACGTAGCTAATGGAAACGGCAGGCAGCACTTTCAGGAAGTTGGGCGTTATGCCCCGGTACAGTCCCGTCAGACCCTCCTGTCGCACAATCTTGCGGAACAGTCCGGTCATGGTGTCCTCACTGCTGTGCGCATCGCTGCTCTTCAGTGGGATTTGTGTTTTGCGTTTTTGGTTCAATATTGTCGCAGCAGCTGAAATGGAAATGGATGATAATGGAAAATTATCAATAAATCATTAGCATTTAAAACGACTAAATAAGAAATAAAAGTTTAGAGTACTACAAGTAGTAATGCTGTAGTTGATGAAAAGATTTTTAAACGTGATCTTCCTAAAATAACTGAACAACATTGATGCTTTGATAGCCCTTTTTGAATGTTGTCTCAGGTTTTAGTCTAATAATTCAAAACTGAATTTAAAACTTTGCCCACAATTGGCTTACTTCTGAAGACGTGAAACAAGCTTTATGTGTCCATATAGAGAACATAACTGATTCGCGAGATATGACTTGATTACAAAAATTAATTTGTCTAAAGACGCCTAATCTTTCCATAAGATCTCAAATGATCTTTTATAAACTGGAATTCATTTCCAAATAATTCACATATACTCGCTCGATAAACTTACCTTGTGCCTGTAGCCGCGTTCGCACTAGGGCCAATGGATAGGAGCACAGCTGACCCAACGCACTGGATGTGCTGCCGCATGCGAGAAGGACCAGAAAGCTCGGCTGCTCGTTATTATCATGGCTAGCAATGTAGCGTCGCTTGAGGGTCTCATAGACGGCCAAATCGATGCCAGCATAGGGTAAGATGCCCAAAATATTCGGCACATAGCCACGATAGAAGGCACGACCACCCTCGTTCTTGTAAATTTTGTATGCCGCATCGGCAATGCCTTTGTATTGGCCGGTCTTCCGCAGAGCCAGTCGTGTCTTTAATACTTCCATCGGATAGATAATGGTCTGCGAAATCCCGCCCGCCGCTGCGCCCGCAACGAAACGCTCCGCAATGGTCATTTGCCGTGCACTATCACTGCCGCGTATCAAACGCTTCATTTGCTCGTAGGCAGCGAATTTAAGCGCCGTCTCTGGTGCGATTTTCAAGACATTGATGCCATTGCCACGCCACATGCTGCTCACGCCGCCCTCCTTCAACATAAGTTGCGTGCACTCTGAGATTCCCATACGATGTGTTTGCACCTGCGGGTAGAAAGAGGTAAAGAGTAACGAGATTAATGGCTTTTGCTGGATTTTTGTATTAATGCCATCGGCTTACCTGTAGATACACCTTGATTCTGTCGAGCGGTGCTGTACATGTGCGAGACACTCCACCCGCAATGCCACCGGCCACCAAATGACGCCACCAGAGACCCGTTTGCATTTCCTTTTGTGTAAAGTCATCAGGTACGTTCATATCCTCGCCAATGTCGAGGTACTGGAAATAGTGCAAGAGAGAGACAAATTAATATTGATTGCACAATCCTTTAGTGTTATTATTGGTCAGTTTAAAAAAAATATAAATAAATTGATTTCAGACCCACGTAATAAATAAGGATTATCAACTCGGTCAAACCATAATTCAACGGCACCAAAATTGAGCTTGGAGCAGCGTTCCCGCTCTCCTCCTGTAAATATGTATTCTTTTTCAATTTCAACTCGATTTCAATTCAATTGCTGCTTTTGTTTTCTTGCAGTGTAGAGGGAACAATTTATGCTGAATGTGTGTGTGTAATACCAATGCGGCAATTAGCATTTGTTTGCTAAAAATAAGGCAAAGGCAAAGCACAATCAAGAATGGCAGCAAAAGCGAAACGCGAAAAGGCGCCGTGGCTAAAACCATCTAAATACAAAAAGAAGCACAACTACAAACTACAGACTGGGGACTATACGTAATGTACACCCGCCACTCTTCACTGCCCCGACGCACAAGCGTTATGAGAAGTCAAGATTCATTCATGGGCACTAAGAGAAGTGAAGTTTTCTCTCTTGTTGAATTGTAGGGGTTTTCCCAAATAATCATTTTCTTTCTAATAGGAATCGCTAGTTTGGAGAGAAGATTTGTTTAAAGTAAATTCATTTAGGATTAGGATTTCTCTAAATATTCACGTATATGTACATATGTACATATATTCATTAATTTCTAATCAAGTTATTTTTTTTCGCAGATAACACGTTTTGGTTTTCATTCGCAGCGAATTCGTAGAAACAGACCTCAATGCTTCAAAAGTTATTCGAGGAAATGTATTGTTTTTTTAAACTGAACCATTAAGTTTACTTCATTCCTATTACCCATGCAAAGAAGTAGCCTAATTTTGTTTCTTTTTGGTTAGGAAATGACTCTTACGGAACAGATCGCCAATATTTTTTATAAATCTTATATGTCTGCTCCTAATGATTTTAGATAACTTTCTGTTCTTTTCTGTTCGTTTTTCCTTTTTCTGTTGCGGAATGCATGGCCAATAATTTCATGTGTAGAAATAGGCTTTTAACACCTTTTTCCATCACCTTAAGCCTCCCCATTACATGTTTTCGTCGTAATTTTCTATTACCCGTGCCTAAAAATTGCCACGTTTTGTTTTCTTCTCTGTTCGTTTTTCTAGTTTTTCTTGCGGAACTGGGCGTTGCAGTTGCCAATGCTTATATCATGTGGGCCAGCTAACACAGACACACACAACTGTGTACATGAACATTTCATTATTTGTGTGTATTTTGTAAATGTCCGCCTCTACAATATACACTATTTTGCATTCAGAATTTGCTCTAGACGTGCTTCTTCTGCTGCTTTTACCAAAAGTTGCGTAATTGCACAATTAATGTTTTGTTTTTCTATTTTTACAGTTATTTTGGCTAAGTCTCGGAAATTGTAATTTTATCATTTGCCGTAATTTCGCGAAAATTTTTAGCTTGCCTGTTAAATTTTGTGGTTGATAATAAAAGAGGCGGTCAGATAAGCAAAATGCGATTTCATTGAATGTCTGGAAACACAAGTCGTTGAGCCTGTCTGAGCGTGATAATTAAAGCAACAAAAATAAGCGACAAAAAACAACAACTGGTCTTGTGATTTCTGATAAGTTTCTGACATTATAATTGGCGAAACAAGCAGACGACAGACGAATGCGCAGAAGAGATATTCAAAAGCGATATTTTGTTGGCTGAAAATATAATTTCATAATGCGCACAAAATATGATTAAAAGAAGGAAAATTGTTGGTAAAAAAAAAACATCTGTGTAAAAGTGTAAAGTATTACGGTTATGTATATTCTAGTGGCTATTGGCATTGAACATCTTTTGAAAAGAAACTGATGCCTTAATCACTGCTTCATAGTAACTGATCAATATGAATAGCAATATTTTTTATTTTTTTTCTAATTATCAAAAATTGCAACAATCGTTTAGTTTTGTATAGAAGCTTAAGCTTTTCATTTACCAACAAATTTAAAATGTAATTTCAAGGTAAATTCAGCACATTCAACTACTTATGCAACTACTCAGAGAAGACCCATAAAAAATACAAATGCTAAGTACAAGTATAATAAAAAAAACCCTCAAAAAGTTCAATGCTTTTTGTTTCGCTGAAGCGAAAAATGCCATTGAAGTCAATTTTCTGGTAAAGTGCGCGAGTAATTGCGGCAGTCAGTGTACATAACTACTTGTATGTGAAGGATAAACCATGCATCTAGTGTATATCTTTGTTTAAAGCAAGCCAATTTAGCCGCTATGTACAACAAACATAGTACGAGTATATGTATGTATGTGTAGTATGTATGTATGTACGAGTGAATGACCAATGACAAACAAAGGAGGATGTGCCAAATGATTTGGCATTTTATCACACCAAATACAATTTTGGCAAAGACGCATAATACGTATGTATGTATATGTATTTAACGTTTAGTATCAGATTCATTTGAAGCAAATACATATTATGTAGAGCGATCGGAAACTACGTCACACGACGTCATTGCGAAAAACACCGTCTAGTTCAAAGTTTAGAAACATCGACGTCATGAGAATGGCAAATACTTCCTAGAGGCAAGAAAGCTCTCTCTCCTTCTAATTTTCCGCTCTTATAGTCGTTTAGGCATTGTATTGTTGTTCTATTAATTTGCACAAATAAAGAAGCTTAAAGTGTTTAAGCTTGAACCAATTCCCATAAATATTTATTTGAATTATTAACGCTAGCATATCACATGTCCACACATCTGAATAGTCGAGTTGAGTTTGAGTTCACGCTTTAGATTTTGACTTTTAAAGTAAATAAATAAGAGAGCAGCAGTACTAATGTGTATTTTGCATTCTATGCACAAGTATGGAAATTTTTCACGATTAACAATTCTAGTAAATTCTACAATCGAAACAAGTGTGCAATAATAAATCCTAAGCTGATAAAAAGTTCCATTCAAAATCTATAATCTAAGGACTACTGAGTCGGACTGTTTGGACCTTATTCATCATGATTTTAGATTCCTGCAGCTATGTATGTATGTATATATTCTAGAAATTACTACGTAGTGTGTGCGACAATTGGCAACAATTTGTTTCGGTCAAGGTCAGTTAAGCGCATAAAAACATAAATAAATATATAGTACATATACTATACATATAAATAAATATGTATATATATATATTTTGGTCATAAATTTAGCCAAAGCACATGACTGCGAAAATGTTGTATATATGCACTCGAATGTGTGAAATGGTTTATTTTTAAAACAGCTACGCATTTTTTTGGCGCATAAACGTGGAAGCAATTGGCAAAAAGGAATTTATACAAACAACAAGTGTTGAATGCAAATTAAAGAGACAAAAAAAGACAGCAACTGGTATATAGTATGATAATTTTAAGAAATAGCTGTTGAAATATTGATTTAGTCAAAACAAATTTGTATGCAGCTGGAAGTCTTTGTTAGGGAAAACAAAAAACCCGAAACCACTTACAAGCCAGCAACGGCCAATCAAGCAACTAATTCATAATAAACCTTCAAGGCAAGCGCAACTAACTGACTGACTGACTGAACAATCAAGCATATCAATACAATGGAATGCAAGTTAAGCCTTTGCCACTCAAACCAGCATGAAGGCAAACTGGGCCGCAGAGTTGGCTTTTCAAGCAAATTAAAAACCCCCTGCTTGCAACGCCATGGAACTGGAAATGTGATTCATTGGAGCTTTACAGCCAGTCGATATCTACATTATATCATTAGCATGCAGATTTTTATACACCAGAACTAACTGACGTTGTGACGCAAGCAGACGCTGATGTCAACAAGTTCAAGTAAACAGCACATTTAAAGAGAAATGATCAACAAGTGTATAAAACCATTAACAACAACACCAACACGCATTTGACGTCATCAGTGTGTGTGTGTGTGTGTGTGTGTGTGGTGTTAAGTGAGGGAGAGTGTAACCTCGCAAAATAACATCGGAACAAGCATTACGTGTGGTATTATGACTAAGCACATCAAGCATACGCTATGTGAGCAGCATAAAATGTTGGCCAAGACCAACCATAATGACGTTGACAACAAACATGCATATCAACGAAAAAGTTAACAAAAATTACAGCGAAACACCGTTTACAAAAGAGAGGACAAATGAGAGAGAGAGAGAGAGAGAGAGCTTGTCCACATCTGTCGTCGTTTAAACGATTTGCGATCGTCAAAGTTGTAGAGTTATGGGAGAGCGAAAGAAACGCTTTTGGGGCCACCGCAACCACCACCACCACAACAACAACAACAACTAAGACGACACACACACAACCGGTTCCATATCAGTTCGCTCGCATTTCTGTTTTTGGCGCGTTGCGCTGTTGCTAAGCGCCCGAAACAACGTGCTGCTGCCGCGTAACGCAAAGAAAACGAAGCCAAATACAAGCCTCAAAAGCAAAGACAAGACACGCTCGCAACAAATTCCTGACATTTGGGTCCGATATAATGAGACCTGCCAATTGCAACAGCTGCAAACGTCAAGCGAGCAGAACAGTCTGACTCTGGCATACCCTATAGCCGCTGCCTCACAAAAATGTTGATGAAACTTCAGATGAAAACTCCAAATTGCCCGACTGGTAAAGCCTATCTATTATTATAAGTGAGTTGTGCAACGATCTCTTCTATGATAGCTATGCAAAATAATAAGTCCAATACATGGACTTATTTGTAATAAAGTTTGGAGTCAGTTGCTCTTATGCTTCATTGATTCTCAATGTTCACGCAGCCTTCGGGTACAGGGTATAATGAAACGTGCAACGTCAACACTTTAGTTGTTATTTTTAGCAGCTATGGTAAAAAGATTGCTCGCTGCCAGCTAGGCACTTGAAACATTGGATTTCACTGCAGCGATACAAAATTTTATTGAACTTCTTTGGAAACAGAAATGTGCATGCATTGAAGCGGACAAACGATAAGATAAATAGACGCGCGAGACTCTGCCGAATGAAAGAAAAAGTCCCGACTATGAGTCAGCTTCCGTTGCAAAATTGGAGCTGCTAAGCTTATAAATAGCAATGGCATTCTTCATAGTCTAGTTAAAAATAACTAAGATATACTTTTGACCAGTTTGATAAAGTACCCTGGCTGGCATTAGGCAGGCTAAATAGAATAAACACAATTGGAAATGAAACTCATCA